TGTGGCCAGGGACCTCGTTCAAGCTCTGCAGCTTCAGGAGCCTGGGCCTCCCCCCGCTCTTTTACTGCTGGGTCGGTGTTACGTTTAACACTAATTTCTTAAAAAGCCATGCCAGTGCCTGAATTCTCTAGAGGGAGGACAAGCTCCTCCTGGTAGCCATTTGTGGTTGCCCAGCCCCAGCAGGACTGATGGCTGGCTCTGCGAGGGAGTGAAGGTGTGGTTGCAAGGGGACCGATGCTAGGGAGAGGCGGTTTCATTTGCACAAGATGCTTTCCTACATCTGCTTTATTTCATATTTCACTTTTAGCTGCTTTTCTTTCACTTTTTGATGTAGCAAGCTCTTCCAAGAGCTCTGCTGCAAGACTGCTGCAGATGTTCAACATCATGCCTGTGACTTCAGGGGCACTAATTTCTAAGGCGTGCTTCTGCAGGTAAATAGGCTGACAGAAATCATAACAGCATGTTAATTTTCTGCAGGATTTATAGACCCTCATGGTGTGTCTCTTTCTGGCATCTGGTCGTGCTGGTGTGTTTTAGTTGCATTAAATACTCAATGCAAAGGCTTGAGTTATGGGGAGGGAGGGAATAATGAGGCAAAGTCATGGATTGCTCCCCTTCTGCACAAGCGGCGAGTGGCAATCCTGATAACGTGCTTTCAGGTAATTTCTGCTGTGTTTTAGATCATTTTGGTATATACTTACACAGTGTATTTGATTTTTAGTCTCTCTGTTTCGCTGTGGAAGGAGCACAGGAAATGTTTAACAGGCAAGCGTGCCCAGGTTGCTCTCGCATTTCTGTTTTCTTATCAGCAAAACATAAATCTGCAGCTTGCTGACAATGAAACCATATGGTAACTCTTTCTGACAAATCGATTTTGCAATACAGATAATCCTGGCTGTGCATGAGAAGAGACATTTGGGATTATTTTGTCTTAATTCTTGCATTACTCTCTATTTTTCAATGCCTGGAAATGACGTATGTGGCTATTTCTGAACACAGGGGTTTGGGTGAATTGAGGATTTGGTGTCTTTACTTGGAGGAGCATTATTTGTCATATGAAATAACCTGTTTATTTGCTACAGCCAGTGCCCTTATTCTGTGTCAGCAGAGAGGAGCAGCAGGTTCAGGTACTTTTTGAACACTGGGTATCCTCTTAATGCACAGCCAAGCTAAGAAACGCGTTTGTGTAAATCAGCTCTTGCTTTACAAGAAGCTGCAGGAGTAGCTGGCATTCAGCTCTCCATGCCCTGAAGGGAACTGGCTGGGCGGGGGCCCGGGGG